GCGTCTTCGAATATGACGATAAACATAAGGTTTTTAATATCGTGTTTTTGAATTTGAATTGCCTATGTAGTGATAACTACTTTTGGCCCGTAACATATTGATGACAATTAAACGTATTGCTGCATTTGCATTGATAAAATTTGTGAATTTATCAGTACGTATTTGTTGAAGAAATGGCGTCCTCGTAATTAAGGTGGCTGTAGAAATTTCTCTTCGATTTATTTTAACATTTCATCCACGTTTAACACTACTTATTCTTCAATTGAGAAAAGCTTGAAGTGAATATAGCTTAATAAAGTAGCAAGTAGGCTTGCTACAAGCAGCGTTTGACGACGTGCGGAAAGAAATGTCTCGAAGCAAGCGAACCCCAGAGTAACTTTGCAACCAACTCAATAATTTTAAAAACTTTGAAAACTATAATAGGCTCACAATCTAAATAATTTTGGATTTTTATTTTGTTTTCTTTAGATTTTGGAACATATTTTCATTCTTTTTTTTCTAATTTTATTTATGCAAGCCTTGTGTTTCATTTCCTTATCTAATTTTCAATTTTCATTTCAAATTAAGCATTTCATCTGTATGTAGGCCTATATATGTGACAATAAATAAATTAATTTTTTTCACTTTTCTATTCTTGGTCCCCATTTGCCTAAATTAGATCTGTAATTTCTCTTTAAAGGTGTTTTTTTTTTAATGTTGCTATTTTACTCCGTTTTTTACAACATTAGGCCTATGTTGTTTTTGTTTTTATCGAAGTCAAGTAAAGTCATTCGTTATTATTTCAACAGCAAAATGAATCATCCGCCCACTCTGCCTGCCTATGTCGACATCGCTATGATTACTATGACGTCATAAGCAGTTTATGCCTATAATCAAAGTTGTATTGTTTTCGTAGTGAGTTGAGTTATTATTTTTTTGTTATCCCAAATCAATTAAGTTATAAGTGACTGCAAACGAAACTTCAAAGAATGCATGTTCTTAATCTTGAAACCCACAAACCTTTCATAGGGGTTTACCGGTATTCTTATTCGATAAAATGAAATAAAGTACATTGGCATTATACCTCTTAATAAATCTGCTAATGTAGAGGAATTCGGACAATGAGCGACGTTTCCGCATCTTAATGGAACCCAACCATAGTATAAGATACGCCTTATAAATAGGCCAACTTCTCCCGCTTAATCAAAAGTGCAAGAAACAATTTTCACGTCCATGTTATGACATATCAGTGCGTTGTCTATTTTAGATTGGTCGAGTGTGATGTAAAATAAATATAGAACAAAGTGTTATTTCAGTTACGAGTAAATAGCATTGGCCATCACTTTGCACAACGTTAAAGTGGCAGTTCCCTAAAGTGTTTACGTAATGCTATTTTGTGAACTCAAAATCTTCATCCAGACGCTATGGAAAAAAAATATATTTTTTTTATATAGGCCTAATGTATTAAAGCGGTCGTTCGATTAATAAGTCTTGATATCAAGGTCCTCTAGGTTTTTACTGTATTCAAAGTGAACATAATCTATTTATTTGAAATAGTTTAATTTAGAATGAAGGTTATCACGTTGTCACACTCTATCTGTTTTCTGTCATCTAACCTTGTCTAGTTAGTCTCTGAAGAGCCATCATCTGTCACATCCATTTATTGAACATCAATCATAATTCATTTGTCATATGACATCATACTGCGCGCTTTCCAATTCACTGCTTGTGACCGAAGAAACTACACGGCGCATGCGTCTGCCATCGATTAGTTTTATAAGTATTCACATTGCTTCTATTACTTCGAAAAGTTCTATATTTAAAAACGAAAAAACCCCAGAAATTATAGATTATTTTATTTAAAAAAAAAAGAAGAAAAAAAAACCTCTCATCGAAAGGTAGTTCCAGACTTCATAAATATAATGATATAGGCATGTATATAGGTAAAAAATCATATATAAATATGTAGGTATAACATAATCATAGAAATATATATATATATATATATATATATATATATATATATATATATATATTTTATATAATATATATTTGGCCTATATATACATATATATATATATTGTAAATGTGTACTGTATATGAGTACAATAGTGCAATATTTAGTATTTACACAACAGTTGGGTAAATAAATAATAATAGAATTCTATTGTAAGCATGGCAAATTTCAGTTTGTACGTCTTCTATTACCTCTTAGCAAGTACCTTGGTAATTTACGAAAGTGCAGCGGAATGCATCAGCTGTTTGCCTATCAATATCAAAGAGCTACCGCCTGAAGTGGGTCAGAGGTTACATCTTAAAACCTGCCTAAAACATGAACTGGTACACCTTGGGATCATAGGCCACTGGCCTCGACACAGGCTTCCATCACTCCTTAGAGAGAGGTACATCGAAAAAGCGTGTGTCAACACCACGGAACACAAGCTTCGATGTAAGGCTGGGTTGTTTGCTGCTACTGGTCTCTGAGGGCAAAACTCTCTTCAGGCCGTAGGAATTAAGAGGATACCAGAATTGTCAATCAAAAAGAGTCACTGGTCCTCTGGGACTATTTTATGCTTCCGATTGAGCCCATCGATTTTGGCGATGATCTTTAATCTTTTCCGACAACTTTTATTTCAAGAAAATATTAGTACACTTATCCTGTGCCAGTTCATCAAACATAAGCTTATTCAATTATTTAATGAAAACTACTCCGAAAGGCTTTGATAAAAGTGTAGATACAGGTCAAGTAATAGAATTGGACTTTGGTGGAGAAGGACGAGTTCAAAAACAATGGCAACGCCTTTCTTGCTTATGCTATTAAGTAAACCCTGCAAAAAAACCTCGTCCTTTGGATGTGACTTAGCCTAAAAGAACTCTGTGTACTATTTTGAGAAAAGTAGAAAACAGTCTCAAGATGAACTCACCAGACGCAGCTCTGTGGCCACTGTGGGTCACCAGTGACCTAATTCGTATTTCCGTGTTGATTTCAACAATTACCTTGCATTTATAATTTACATTTTGACTGATAAAAGTGTAGATAAAAAATGTTGAATGATCCAAAAAAAATGTATAGCATCTATACCTATTTATAAATAAATTATATCTGAATGTCAGTATAAAAAAAAGTGTAGTTTCCACATTCCACACTCAGGTAAAATTAGTAGGCAATATCCATGACGTCACTCGTTGAACAAACCGAAAGTTTTTTCTTAGTCGCGAATGACTGAATCACTTAATTAATGCTCGTTTTTAAATAGTGAAACGAGTGGTTTAGAATAGTCCGATGAAAAAATTTTAATCACTATTTTATTATTAATGAGTAAACTTTATTGAATACTCGAAGTATATCATTACTTTCGGTGACATTATTCCTAGTGTTTGGTGCGTTGACGTCAGCTCAACTTATCTGTCTTAAAACACATTATATATCTGTCAGTTCAGACCGAGCTCGTGTAACTAAGGTTCAGTTCGTAGTTATTAACGGAAACGCAACGTCCTTTCCTTCAGCCTCTGTGAGAACTTGTCTCTTGTAAAGGTTGCATAAATGTATTATCATTAGGTAAATAAACGGTATGACTATAATTTTGTATTTAAGGACTTGGTTTCTGATAGACAGGTATCTCACAGTATGATTATCTTAATATCATTAGAAAAACCAAATAAAATGATCTTAGCTCATGAGTTCATTTCCAACCAGATTTGACGATTCTATAGAAAGGTGTAAAGGAATATACATACAGTACACCAAAAGGGAAGACGGTTAAGCAAAGAATTCCCAGATGTAGAGCCACACGACTGAACAACCAATAATATCGGAATCGTATAGTGCTGTTAAAATATATGAAATTCTTCTTACATCACCGCTAATTAGAACATGCCATGTATTGGCACAACTCATTGGACGCCCTCTCAGCGTCCGGAAAGACCAATTAGTTCTTAAACACACATGCTTCATTTTCAGCTGTGAGTTGCACCTTAGCGGTGTTTTTAATAATGTGTTACCTTCTGTGAACCAAAAATAGCCATATCTAGATGACTGGGATATAAACTGTTGAAAACAGCAAACGCAAGTTGTATATTATTTGGTCGAAAGGTCAGGTGACTTTGACAGAAGGAAATGAAAACCGTATTGAAGACGGGGTGCAAATTGCCTCCCATCACCATATTCAAACATCGCATTAGGGTGCAGCAGTTACGCTCTGCGGGTCAGCATCATCTTTTCTAACCAATCAGATCATATGTCCACAGGCTATACCTTTAGTATTAAATAAAGTTGATTACTGAACGTTTTAATGAAATTGACCGCCTGTAGAGGTGGGAATTCGAACTTCATTCAATGCCCTAATTTGAACCTCCTGAGAAACGCAAAAGAGTGACTGTGCAACGGTGTTTCAGAACCTGATAGGTGATACGCAATTTAAAAACATTAAAACAACGAAATCCAACGGCGATGATCTCTCTTTAACGCCTTTGTCCACCTGATAAACACCGATGGTGTGTAGGTCAAACCCTTAAATCAACTTACGTTCTTCATGGTAAAACTAGATTCGTTTGACAAATCTCTCGCAACATTTTTTTTTAAATCTTGCTCCATCCACTGCTAGGGAACCAGGTTCTTTGACCCGTACAGTCGTTTACTTGCAAGAAATACAAGAATAGGGTCACTTAACTTTGAAAAATATTAATACTAATTTTTGTATTTCAACTTCATTTGTTTATATTAAGTTTAAATACAAAATATTTTTACCACGCTATGAATCTTCAGTAGGACATCCAGTGTAAAATTAAATTTCTCTTTCTAAACAGTATACATATATACATATATTTGTTCAGCTCTGCCTTTATTTCGTTAACTTTCACTTGACATTTCATTACCATGGTTGTATATTAACATTTGTGGCGAATAACTTATACAACTTTAAACTTAAAATATTCCAGCTTTGACATTTACTTTTCAGTTCTTTAAGTTGATTCTTTGTTCTAATTAATATTCAATAATGTTTTCCATTTATATTTTTCAGGCAAACGATACTATCAGCAATCAAATTCAATCTGCAGACGACTTCCACCCACCGATCCTCGCCCCGGAAAAGACTTTACCAGTAAGCCTGGAAGGAGAATGGGTTAGCATACGATGCGAAGTAAAAGGCAGTTTCTTCATGACACGACACATATCATACTTTGGAAATAAGACGTGGAACGCTGGTATCAAGTATTTTGTAGATCCAAATTGTCGACGACCAGCCTACTCAATCACAAAACGGGGAAGCCATAGCGACGGCGTTCAGTCCAGTATAGTTGATGGTGGAACCAATTTCAACTTGAAAACCGAACAGGTGGTAATCAAACCTTTGAGCCTAGCTTCTGCGCAAAAGTTAAACTCTGACGGTGATTGTGGTCGACCGGGATCATGGCACGTGGACACAGAGCAAGACGTCACGTATACTAACGGCTGCAAGACGTTAGGCCTGATAATGTCAACGACAGAGTACCAACTCTATCAAATGAAGTACAACACAGCAGGTAAACTCCTGCTTTACGATGGCCAGTTGCCAACTAGCGGCCAATACCCTGATCAGCCAGAACTACGGCCAACGTCATACAGTGATCCACTAATCCACTGCGCAGGAATAAATCCAATATTGGAGCCTCCAATGAGCCAAAACGTTATCCAGAATACGCCCCCACAGCCTGAAAACAGTGCAAACTCACATTCGCTACATCGTATTCTTTTAGTGGCATCACTAATTGTACTTAGATATACACTATTCTAGAATATTATAATATATTAACATGACTTTAGTAAACTGCAGAGGTTTCGGGTTGCTGACAATGCATTCAACCACCACTTGGATTATAGCCACAGGGATCGATATCTAATAGATTTATTTATTATATTTTTAAAAATACGCAGAAGGAATTGATCTTGATTGATGCAGTCACATAAATATTGGATTATAATGTTCTCAAATTTGTTTCGATTATCAGACTTTCATATTGAAATACCGGTATTCAAACAAAAATGCAATAGGACTACATAGACAATCACTATTATATGGATATTGATCTATCTATATTTATGTATGTAACATGATGTATTAAAAGCATAATTTATGAACGTATCATATATAATTTGCATAGTTTGCAGGTAATGTTTGAACAAAATGAAGGAAACAGCGTAATGCATGTTACAAAGTACAGTATAGGCCCCATCAGACGGTATGGAAATAATTCAAGTCACTAGATATGAGCAAGGCATAACAGAAACAGAGAAACGAAGCAGAAGTCAAAAGAATTTCCATAAATCATTACTTATTTCACTTTTGAATGTTAGATTTTATATCTTCTTGAAATAGCCACACCGTTTGATTGCCTCCCGAGGGTTAATTACTCATTAATTTTGTATTTATTTTTGTCTTGCATTTACATTTTGCAGCAGTATTCTGAAGGTTTGTAAACTAAGATTTTGCGCTTGTTGTGGCGAGAACCTTGGCAGTAGAAAATAAAAACACACCTTACCTCAAATAACCGATCGAACGGAATCTGCTATGCTAAAACGATTTTGCGCATGCTCATCAAATACATTCCTTTAAATAAAGAAATGAAAATATAGAAATTTCTGGTCGGTCGATCGACCGATCGATCGGAGAATGGTTTAAACCAGGTAAATTGCAGATTCTACAGGGACCACGTGTGTCGGTGTTGAAGACAACGAGTTATATTTGTGCACAAGATCAAAATTATATTTTCTAATGGGCTTACAGAATATAATTAAATTAAAATTATTATTAAAATTGAATATAGAGATACCTTGTAATTTGTTCATTTAAATATGTAAATAGCTGTAATATAATGTCTATAGATTCGGAAATCGTTTTGTACATTACATTTTATGATTATTAACGGTGAAGAAAGTTAGCTGATGAGCTAAGTATAAATCGTTATTTTTCAAGTTCTATTTCATTATATTTCTTTGATGAATTAATATTTTTACCAAAATTCGTTATATAGTAATATTATTAATTCATCAGTGTTTTTATATTATTATATTCAGGCATTTTGTTCATAACGAAACCAAACTCGATACTAGTTAGTGTTGACCTGGTAAATTGTGTTTACAAATTTCGAAATGTATAATTTGTGCTGTTCGGATCCTCTTAATCATAAACGCACACACACAGATACCGTAACATTCAAGGGATTTGTCTAATTATACTTCGTTTTTCAAACTCAAGCCAGTTCAAATGTAGAAAGCACTGGGCCAGCTCTGATTGGCCAATTTCTCATAAATTATATAAAAAAAAAAACTTTGAAAAGAAAAAGTTTTGATTATTTCAATTTGAAAGGTTGTTTGATGATGTTTTACAATGAATACTTTTAACGGAAGTGTACAAGTTGATTTTGCTAAGTTTAATTCAGTCAATTTTTTTTTAACGAGATTATATATTTATAGAATATTTAGATTTTCATCGAGTTAATATCATGTTTGGTACATACATTTTTGTTATAATGTGCCGCGGTTGAAGTGGTATTGCTCAGAAAAACAAACGTTTCGTCAAGAAGATGTAAAATGTTGGTACTTCGATATGATTATATTTATTTATTCGACTTTACCTCCAATAGAACGGAAACTTGCCATGGATAATTTAAAATAACTACTTTATCTCATCAACTTACGTTAATAAAAGTTATTTTATATATATATTTCTAACGAGGGCGTTTTGGAGCTTGAAACATATTATAAGTTGTTGGTTGTCCTTGTGTTTGGTAGTACGACAAAGACAATTCTGGCATTTTGCAAGAATTTGTACAATTGTGCCCTGTGTTAGTTGAACTGACGGACCTTTATCTGTTTAAAAAGGGACAACGTTAACCGATATAAACTTTGAAATATATAGCTAAAAAGCAGCATTTTTAAAGTTATTAGTGTAAATTAATTTGCTTATATCAATGTTTTACGAAAACACTGCCACTGATAGGTGGAGTTAAGCTACATGTAGATAAAGAATTGCACATTTTTACTAAGATTTAAGTATGTAGGTGTATTTGAAATAAAAATTTATGATATATACCTTTGGATGTACATTTTAAATACGGCATCGAATAAAATTATCTGATACAAATATAGTTTTGAGTTATTTATTGATAAAATAAGATAAGATAAGATAACTTTATTGTTCCACAAGGTAAATTCTTCTGCTCGTCATCACATATTTTATTAAAAAATGTAAAACAAATATAAAAACATACAAAACAGTCACTATAGAAAATATAACAATTTACAAGTAAAATACAATGACTACCATCGATAAAATAATTGAATTACAATTATGATTATTTTTATTATTCTTATTATTATTATTATTATTATTATTATTAGTATTAGTATTATTACTATTATTATTATTATTATCATCGTAATTAATACAGTTAAAATTATTATTGATATTATTATATTGATAATGAATTATCTTCTAAACCTCTTGTTGAACTGGGTGATGCCGGAGGGGATAAATGACTTCGCATAACGGTTTGTTTTTGCTCTGAGTAGCCTCATTCTACCACTTGGATTAAGTTGGTTAATAATAGCATAATAGAGTGGATGAGAGGTATCTAACTCAATACGATGGAAGGTTTTCTGAAGATGTTCTAGATACACATCACTAATGGAGGGCAACTGTAGACCAACCATTTTACAAGCCTGGCGGATCAATACGTCCTTTATCCACTCCGGCAGCATTTACCAGCCCAACAAGCAAGGCAATATGTCCAAACACTACAAACAACAGATCT